GCTGCCGACCCACCAACTCCGCCTCCGACCAACTCCGCTTCGACCCCAACCCCCTCTCTCTCTCACTCATGGCCCTAACCTTAGAGAATTTTTTCCTTGTCTGTACAAATACCAGTAAAACAATTTCAGAGAATTTTTCTCATTAGAACGGTAATACAACTTTAGTGAATTTTTTACTTCAGAGAATTTTTCTCATTAGAACGTACCAGGTAAAACAACTTCAGAGAATTTTCTTGTCTGCATGTTATTAATTTAAAAGGCACCAAGTAATTCATTATCATCCTGATTGTTTTCATTAACATGAATTAGAACTAACACGAGTGTAGCTAGAACTAACATGGTGTAAATTAGAGCTAACATGGCATAAATTAGAACTCACATCATGGATGATCATGTATTTTTAGCATTTTATACAACCATCAAAGTTTTTACAAATACTAAATTTGTTTTTCTTGAATTTCTTTTCTTCTTTAGGAGTTCGGAATGGAGGAAACAAATTTAACTAGTGTAGAGTTCGGAATGGGAGAATCAAGTATTATTAGAAGTGAAATTATAGTCAATACTGTAAATGCTCCTAAACCACTACTAGGAATGAAGTTTAATAGTTATGAAGAACCTTTTAACTATTATAACTCTTATGCATTATTGATGGGTTTTGGAATACGGAAGAGTATGGTAAATTACTCTCGCAAGACTAGAGAAGTGGTAGACAGAAAGTTTATTTATGATAAGGATGGCTATAGATCTAGTAGAGACAAGATAGAGATCCCTTTTTGGCGAGAGACCCGAGTGGGATGTAAGGTAATGATGCGAGTTAAATTATTGGAGGACAAATCATGGGAGGTCACGTGGTTTGTTGAAGAATATACAAATCATTTGTTGAGTAGTCCAGACAAAGCAAAAATGCACAGATCACATCAACAATTCTCTAAAACTCAAAGATTAAAACTTATTGATAGTCTGCGAGAAGAAGGTATGCCTCCTTCCACTATTTCTCATGTCATCAATGCAACCAATGGAAGAGAAGGTGAATTAGTGACATCACAACAGTGCATTGATCATATAAGAACCCAAAGAGTCAACAATATTGGCCATGAATGCATATCTATCATTTAACATTTTCAGAGTATGACAGCGAATAATACAGAATTTTATTTTGTAATAGAAGTAGACAATAGTGGACAAATAAGGAGTGTTTTCTGGGCTGACGGAAGATCAAGAGCATCTTATTTGCAATTCAGTGATGTTATTGTGTTTGATGTGACATTCAAGAGCATCTTATTTGCAATTCAGTGATGTTATTGTGTTTGATGTGACATACAGAACTAATAAGTTCAGTCTTCTATTTGCAATTCAGTGATGTTATTGTGTTTGATGTGACATACAGAACTAATAAGTTCAGTCTTCCATTTTCTTCATTTACTGGTGTAAATCACCATAGGCAGTCCACTTTACTTGGTTCTGCATTATTAACTGATGAACATGAAGATACCTTTATGTGGTTATTTCAAGAATGCCCGAAATACATGCATGGGGTTGAAACAGGTGCTATTATAACAGATTAGGATAGAGCAATGTGTAATACTTTTTACTCTATGTTTCCAATGATAAGACATCGTTATTGCTAATGGAACATGTAAAAGCACATTAATGATCATTTGCCTACTTTGGGGTCTCGTTATGGTGAATAGTTTCAAATGTATTGGGGCTTATGGTTCTATACGTTAAAAATTACTTATAGGTTCCCGCACGCAGCTTGAGATAGAGAAAAAATGATAAATATCATTATCCAAGACAAGAAGGATTATTTAATACCGTAGGAAATCTAGCAAGTGCATGAAGCAAGTTGGCGAAGCATACGAGTCAATGAGACAGCAAAATAAGGAAGAAACGACTCAACCGGGAGTTGTGTTTTACCCACAAAGGATGAAGTCTCACTCGTGTCTTACTCATTCAATGGGTATTTCATGCATGGAAGGTTGTATAACTCTTCTTTAGCTTTCCAACGCATCTTGGATCACCTTATTCTAAGACTGGACGAGAACGTTAGAGCCAAAACAACCGAGATGGTCCAGACTGTTTTACATTTGCGAGACACCAATGGTGTCTCACACGTGTCGGCCGTGATTCGCTTTGAATATGAAAAATCTCAAAAAATAAAAGTTATCAATCTCTTCATCATATTTCCAATGTATCCTAAATTATTTTATTCTAAGGTCGGATGAGAGTGATAGAGGTAAAACAATAGAGAGATGCCAGTCATGTCTCGGCCCAATGGCCGAGACACCAACGGTGTCTCATGCCTGATAGAGTTGTTTTGACCATGATCCGATTCAAATATGAAGAATCTTAAAAGACAAAAGTTGTATATCTCTTTGTTAGATTTCCAATATATCTTAGATCACATCATTCTGAGATCGTACGTGAAAGTTAAATCCAAAACAACAGAGACAGTCCAGGTTGTTTCATACCTGCAAGACACCAATGATGTCTTACATATTTTGGCCATGATAAAATTCGAATCTGAAGAATTAGAAAAAATAAAAGTTGTAGGTATCTTCGTTAGCTTTCCAAAACATCTTGAATCACTTCATTTTGAGGTCAGATGAGAGAGTTAGAGGTAAAATAACAGAGCAACACCAGTCGTATCTCAGCCTATGGCTGAGAAACCATTGGTGTCTCACACACAGAAATACTGTTTTTCGCCCGTTAACAGCCCGAAAACCAGTTTTTCGATAAGATTTTGAGATTTCTTCAATCCAAAGCCTCTTCAACTGATTTGAAGCTATCTTGAAATATGGTTAAGTGGTTACAATTGAGGATGAGACCAAATCGATCATTCTTATCGAAAAAACAAAGCTTCTGAAGCCTATAAATACAGCCCTAGGTCCTTCATTTACAGGGATCCAGAATTCTTGAGTCTCGGTAAAGCTCTGTTGAATTGAAAAGTGAGGAGCACAAATTTTAGAGATTAGGAAGAGATCTTGGCGAGTTCTTCAGCACAAACAGAGGAAGAGTTCGAGAGATCTGCATCCTGTTCATCCATTTCCCTTGAGATCGCACCTAATTGTGATTCTTAAGAAGAGTGATTGTCTCCCTGTTGCTGAGATAGTCACTTTAATTTATTGTCTTTTTGAGACAATGAAATCTTTATTCGGATCTGATCAGTTGGTGGTTCACGGATAAACCCCGGCACCGGTAAAGATCCCGTACAAGCAAAAGACCGATAAACAACCTCTTTGCATGTGTTCTCAAGAAGTCATCTGTTTTATTTATATTGTAAGAGAAGTCTTATAAAAAGACTAAATTTTCTTTATTTTGAATCATTGTAACGCCTAAAGTTGTAATGGATTCGAAAGCAATGAAACCGATTTGCGATGCGAACACGCTGGCGACCACAGTGGGAGTCAATAGCCTCATTGCCGAGGCTGTCGTGTCATAGCCGATGATCAAGATCCATGTGGATGAAGAGGTCGAATACGAGTTCGACCAGCAGAAGTTCGAGGAGTACGTCTCCTCCTCCTCCTCCTCCAGATCTTCCTCTCCTTGCAAGCGCAGGAAGACCACTTCCGTGAAGAAGGTTCATTAGCCTTCAGATCTGAAGACTCAGGGTGATAATTTTTACCCAAGTGTTATTGAAGACTCCTCCCCAGCGTTCAAAGAAGCCGGATCTTAGGCTCGCGACAATTCCTCACAAGTCAAGGAGTTGATTGTTGAAAACGTGCCAGTTTTGATGAAGAGGGCTCATCAGAGACGGCGCCAACGTCTTGCCCGTCAATTCACGAAAGCTCTGGAGCAGGTGGACAGACTCCACTATCAAGCGGATTTAGAATTCAGAAGGCGCCAAATGACTAAGCCTTCACCGCAGCAAGCAATGGGTTCCTTCTCCCAACCGCCGACTAACAAATGGGTTCGTGTCAAACGAACCCATTCTACTCTTGAGGAGTGCATCCAGAAATGTCGCGTACTTCTTACGCACACACGAATCCTTGTGCAAAAGGTACAAGAGCTACAAAAAGAATAGGTGGTCAAAAAATCACCAAAATCCAAATAAGTCTGGGTGCCAAAGGCCAAAACAGTGCTAAAAATGACACCGAAAATAGCCAAGACGCCTCCACTTAGGGAGAGACACCAGTCATGTCTCTCATCTAATTCTAGCCCCAATGCTACTTCCCAGCTTTCGTCAGCTTCAGATCCCGCTCCTCTTGCTCTCGTACCTCCGGTGTAGCTCTACGGCAGCATGTATCTATCCAAATTCATAATTCTATTGAAAGATTGCTTGGATCTTCTACATGAAGACCAAGACAAAACTCCTGTCAAAGAATGCTTGGGTCCGGTGAGATCCCGAGTAACTCTTCAGACTGAGGGTCGTATACGTTCTCCTAATAAACTAATTCTCGTAACCGCCCGCTAGGGGGTGCGTGTGGAAGACCAGGAGCATGTTAGGGTTCCACCCTCACGAATGCGTGGTTCCAAATGTGCGACTCCCGAGAACACCAACAATGCATTACCTCTCCAGAAAAAAAACGTGTCCATCAAATGATAATGTTATACCTGGAAATCCAAACCAACAACAGATAAGTTACTCCAGCCACAACGCCGAAGAGTTGTACTATCAAGCTGGGGGTACGAACAAATCTTGAAAGAGAAGTATCCCAGAATCAGTTTCTTACTATCCTTCTGAGAGGCTTATCAAGGCAGTATTATCGGAGTGTAGTTTCCCCAAGACCGCTCCACAGAGGGTCTCGGTATTTCAAAGGCTTTCCATTGAAGCATCAAAACCCAAATCAAGATGCTCCCACAAAAGAAGATCAGCCATTCAAGATGACGAACTCCCAGAGTGTCTCACTTCGAATAACGATAATCCTAACTTTTCTCTAGGAAGAAAAGTCGATTCAGGAATAGCCCGACGAGTGTCTCAGCTCTAGCTAGAAGCCGTCAGACATGGGGATTACTCGAGGATGCATGAAGGACTGTCTTCGGAAGACGAACTTTCGGATACTTGCTCTGCAATCGCCTCCAACGATATAATGTCTAGTATGGAGCGAGCTCGAGAAATATTCATGATCACTACCGAATAAGTGGCTCAACTTCTTCAAGAAGCCTTGGCCAAACAGAAAAAAGATTTTAAAATTGAAATGGAGATGATTGTGCAACGGGTCAAGGATTTACATGCCCAACAACTTCAAGATTTATCAAATCAATGTGGTAGAGATTCGAAAGTTGGAGAAAAGATCAATGCTGATACCCCTCCCTATAACATGGACGCTAGGGGGTCCCATCGACAATAACAACGCTAGGGGTGGCCCCGTTGTTCCTCCCCAAATCGCCTGAAGAAAGATGCAGGTGAGGATAAAAATATGAAGGATCTGGAAAGCAAAATTAATACCTTGATGACTGCTCAAGAGGTGAAGAAAACCGGTATCCCGTGTCCATACCCAAGATAGCGGGATTCAATCCCGTACCCGACGAAGTTCAATTTAATTAATTTCATGTCGTTTGACGGGAGAGGTTCGTCCACTCAGCATATAATCTACTTCAAGTCTCACCTGGGAATGAACTCTGGACACGAACCCTTGATGATTCGGTCATTTGTAGGCACCCTTCGCGGGGACGTCTTTGATTGGTATCGACATCTCAAGCCAGGAAGCATCAACTGTTGGGACGATATGGAAAACTTATTCCTTAGCAATTTCTTTGATGAAGATATTGAAGTGTCAATTGAAGCTCTTTTGGATGAGAAGCAGAAGAATGGAGAGTCAGTTGACACATTCGTTAAACGCTTCTGAAATAAGACGATGAATTGCCGAGATCCGGTCACAGAGGAGTTCATACTCCAGACCTGCCATCATAATCTCTCCCTCGATATCCTCTAAGTCATAGGGATTGTCCCCTCAATCACCTAAAAGGAATTAAAACTATGTGGAGAACAGGTCGAGCACTTCCTCAGAAGAAAGAAAGCCGAGAGAAGCCAGCTGATAGCATATGTGGTTGTTGTTGATGTTAATCAAACGTCACAATAATAACCTCAGAAATAGCGCATGACTCCTGATCTAAGGTTCCAGAAGGAGTATTCTTTCAAAGATGATGAAGTTCTAGCCATATTAAAGTATCTCCTCGCTAATGACAAAATCGAGCTACCACCTATTAAAGATCAGGAGGGAGCTAAGAGGATTACGGATTTAAAATACTGTGCATACCACAGGAGGGTTTTCCATCCCACCAAGGCTTGTTTCGACCTCAAAAATAAAATCCAAGACTTAATTGACTCTAACGTCATAACGACAAAACAAGCCAAATAAAGACGACCTAACATCCGATAGGTATATGAGGTTAAACTGTGCTGGCAAACTCCGAAGAGTATATGAGTATAAACTGCTCCTTCTTTTAACTTCACTGGGTACATGAGTATAAACTGTCTCCCCTGACTCCAAAGAGTATACAAGTATAAATTGCTCCTCCTTTTAACTCTACTGGGTACACGAGTATAAACTATCTCCCCTGACTCCAAAGAGTATACGAGTATAAACTGCTTCTCCTTTTTACTCCAACGAGTATACGAGTA